GAAATCACCGAGTGTGACAAGACCGCCCATTGTACTCAAATTACTATTACAATGTAAACAATCTTTCAGTGTGTGCAATAAAGTATGAGTAAATAAATAAATAAATTAGTGCCTGCCCAACTTTTGAGTTAAAAAAGTAACCTAATAAGAAATTCAATAATTCGACATGGTGGACTAAGGGACAAGGGACTTTGTCCAGCAGTGGGTATCTTCCAGTTGTTGATGATAATGAATAATAAACTATATCAAACTGACCGAGCGGTAACCGGTAACCGCATCCTATTGTTCTTTAATTGTGTCTATGATGACGGCAGGTACCTACTCAAAGAGTTAAAAGTATTACTAAAACATACAACTTATCTTACCAAACTTTGGTCAGCATTGCACAAAGCACTGAAAACTTGTGTTGAGAAATACAACAGTTCTGGATAGATCACATTTAGATAGATTGGCTCTGAATCCCTTTGCAGCAGAATATTCGCATCAATATCTTTTGGCCAGTCTACACCATAACATTCTTCTAAGCTCAATTTTTCTGGGTGAGGGTTCCAATTACGATCACAAAAAGTTAGAAATGAACTTATAGAAACATAAAGAATGTTTTCCTTCACATTAGAATCTCTTTGATATGTTTTCAATAACTCTCCCAGCGCATCTGTATCGAGACCCGTCGCTAACAATTCTTTGCATATTGATTGGTCTTTGACTGACCACTGCTCCGACCATAACTTTTCAATAGTCTTATTTTCTGAAATTAAAGTTTTTCAAAATAAATAACATATTAAGCCGTCATTTAAGTTGAATAGCAGTGTATTTTTATTCTTACCAGTGTTAAGTTGGTCATCGAAATTACACAAAAACAAAACTGACTCTGGTGTCATTGTAGATTTGGTGATTGTACAGATCGTGTATTTTTAAGAAAATGTTCTGTTTATCCTCTGTTCTCGTGTTTTTGACATAATTATAACCTAAAAAAATAATCTATATAGTCAGTGCTATGTCATAGATAATTCTTTTTTAAATCTGGATATCGGTATTTTACTTCGTTAATTATTAATGAAAAATTACATACTTACTAATAAAGTTAGAGTGGTTAGCTTTAGCAGAAGGTGTTAGAGTCAAAAATTGTTGGCAATAAGAATAATAAAATTATAAAACTTGATCAACAGTTTAGCCTTCATACTTTGTCTATACCTTATATCCATAGTCTTTGAAAAAAAATTAGTCTATGGTATACAAGATGGGTGTACTTTTAGGTTAGGGAAAGATTTTATGGAATTAAAGTTTGACGAAAATGAAATATATTTATAAAATGGAATCAGTGCTAATAAGTATAGTCATCGTTTTTTGTACTGTGCTACTAGTAAAACTACTTTATAAATTACGGTAAGTTGGAGAGGTTATAGATAACGCTTTCCCGCCCGACAAAAACCTAAAAAAATACTTATTTTGCTTTTACAGATCAGCTTTACCTTGGCGCGTGAATTGTTGGTTCTGTAATAATGATTTTTGGGTAAAATATCCAGTGCGTAACAGCTGGACTTGCCAAAAATGTGATCAGTACAATGGATTTACCAAGGTAAGGTTATCACTGATTTATGAATGAAATTACGATTGTTATCACGTGTTATATAATTTACACATCATGATCAGCTGTATATAAATATGTTCCATACTTTAAATTACCCATTTTGCTTAAGGTATTATGGTTTACTTCTCGAATTTTATTTGGGAATATTGGCAATGTTTCAGCTTAGCATAGGTCAAGCAGAATGTAAAAAATTATGCAAAAAAATTGGCTGAGTGTTGACTTAGCTTTTTTCTCGTTAGAACAATCACAATAGTAATATTGGTAATGTATGAAGACAAGCCAATATTCGAATGTGTGTATATTATTTCAGGATGGAGACTACAATAAGCCGATCACGGCGTGCAGTGACCAGGGTATCCAAACACCTAAAGTCTTCAAGAGAAGTCCACCTAAGAATGGCCTCTGCAAAATGTGTAATATAAATCAACAGTTGAAAGTGACCCAGCTAGCCAATTTTGTTCCTATGAATGATAAGAAGTTTGATGAAGAAATAGAATCATACAGGTAATTAGTTTGATTAATGTTGTTATCAACTTATCATACCACACCTTGTCTTAAGTCCTGAGTGAACGGGTTGCTTACAGGCAGGTGTGCTCTATCACTTACTACCAGGCGAGTAGTATTAGTAGTAGGGTAAAGTAGGTTTCTTTGTAACCATTGTGATGGTTAATGTAATCTACCTACATCATTTATTTTTTTGATGATTTCATGTAATTCATAGCGAATTTCATATCTGTATCAATTAACATCATACACTGTGTGACATTCCTTGGTTGCGAAATGTAAAAAAAAAATTGGCCCACCTGAGGAAAAGAAATCGTCTTATGTTCAATTTTAGGAAGTCTCATTATCTCACACAATTCCCTTATCTTAGCTGCTGCTAATTGTTTAACTTGTGTTATCAGTCATTTTAAGAAGTCATGTTTACTGATCCAATTCATCTCTGCTAATTTTAAATAAAGATACCTAATAAAATCCAGTTGCGAATTTGGTGTGGTGGTAACAAGTTTACATTATTTTTCATTAATATTTACATTGAAAAATTTATTGAATTAACAAAGAATTTAACATGTATAATTTATATTATTATATGTGATTTAGTATTTAGTATGGTTGAACAAGCAATAAGCTTATATTAAAATTGTACTTCTCTATATTCCAGGTTGCAGTTAGAGAAGGCTTACAAACTATGCAGTCCATGCCGGAAAGTCGTCCAAATGAAGTTGCACAAAGAGAAAGAAACCCTTCTGGGGTCCAAACTATTAGAAACAAGAACTTCAGACAATAAGTCTGAGAAAGAAAAGCAATATAAACAAACCAAACTGTTGAGAAAACTTATAAACAATACCTCTATGCTTATAGCAGTTATACTTTTTATACTGGTTTCTTTTGAACTTTACACAAACTTAACATTAAGACACAAGAATTTACTTAGTACAATAACTAATATAAAAGTAATAGTACTAGGTCTTCTAGAAAGAGTATACTCTATAATTGAAATGAAGACAACTCTGACATTCCCTGCTTTAGAAAATTATTTCTATGACATAAACATTGTGAACATGATGCCAAAAAGTTTTAATTTTAGACACATAAATGTAGACCAATTAAATATATCTACTCAAGAAACTTTAGGAAGTTTTGTATGCTTTTTACAAATAATTGGACTCATCTGGAATGTAAACAGCTTGAAGAATACTATTCTTATTGACATGCAATGGCTGGTGTATGTTGTTGCAACATTAGGACATCGCTATGTGGCTGTGGAACCCATCTATTTGAGCTTAATTAAGGTCAGTAAATCATTTACCTTGTATTTACATTTGTTGCAGAATGTGCATTCATGTAATGTGTAAGGTTTTTCAATGAGAGATTACTTGATTGGGGTTCACATATTTGTGACTAAAACAAAAGATCAGTTATCAATAAATTTTATTCAAATATTTAATTTCCTGGTCATACTACAAAAATCTTGCTACCAAACTACACCAACTAATAATATCTATTATCTTTTTGTTACAGATAATGTGTTTGTTCATTGTAATATTGGCTTATAAATCAATTAAGACAGAAGCCAAGAAAATAGAAATGAAGAGCCCAACTTCACCGAAACGAATGAAAAATCTTGTAAATTCATCAGCAAGTTCACTAATTGATGATGACGACGACGCTATGCATTTAGACAGCGATGATGATGTTTCATTGAGCAAATTCGGCTTACACAATTTTTCCGAGTCTTCAAATGAAAATTTAGGTTTAAATGCAAGTATGATGAATGGTAGAACTTTTACACCAAGAACTGACAGTATATGGACAAAGCCAAAACTAAATTCCACATTCTGTGTCAATTCAGTGATTAGCAACAGTCCTAGTTCTGTATCTGATACAATATTTGTGAAACCTTCATTCAATAAATATCAGAAACTCATAAAAGATGATTCAGACTCAGAATTAGATGAAAGCATAAGTTCCTTGTGTATTAGTAGTCCTAAGAAAGCAAAAAAGACTACAAATTCAGTATTTTCCTTGAGAAAATTTACTGCTACTCCCAGTTTCATTGCTCCGACGCCTATGGCTCGAACTAGGCCTCTTATATCGCCGAGCAAACTAGGTCACAGTACTTCTTGGGTGGCTGGTGGCTACTGGGGCTCCGAAGGTGAGCGTCAGATATTTAGTGTAGATGGGAGCCGTTCCTCGAGTCAAAGTTCGGGATTCGAATCTCAGACTTCTAGCGTAAATCAACGCAACATGTTCTCGCAGCCTCCTTCGCGAGAAGAGTCCATCTGCGGGGAACCAATGGTGTTAGATCGTTTTCCAACCATGAGTAGTTTAAATGGTTTCCAGTCGCCACAGCATTTTAACCGCATAAGTTCTCCAGTATTTCCCCAAATGCAGTATAATAGTCATGTCCATATACCGCAAGCTCAATTTGCTCAACAAAATTCAATGTCAGGGAACATGTTTGTGCATCACCAGCAACATACACAGAGCAGTTTATTCAAGACACCTGGTGGGTCTGGCCTTATAAAACTGCCACAAGTCAATTCCTTCTCGACTCACTAGCTCTTGAGGACTAGTCAATCTACTTACTGCCTTGACATTTCTTACTTGTTTTCTTTAAATTCGTTACGTATATTTTTGTCTTGCTTACCTCTTTATTTTTTAGATTTTTACGAAGTTCCGTGAACTGCCATTACGTTAAGAACATTTTGTTAAGTTATATCATGTTAGTTGTAAGCGATTGTTAGTTGTAACGTTTGAGACTAAACTTAGTTTGTAAGACGTATTTGCTGATCTCGTGTTGGTGCCAGGTGTTGGCGATATGAAAGCATTAAGAATTATTGTATTGTTAACAATTTTTATATGGACGTCACTGTCCTATTCTCGAACAAAATGTGATATGTAAAGACTAAATAATTTTTTGCAAAAAGTGAAAATGATTCTTGATGTTATCATCGTTTTGATTTTGTCATCTTATAACGGAAACTTTTTGTGAATTTCCTGCAATAAAAAACGTAAAATTGTAATTCTGTTTTCATTGTTCCTGAAACCAAATAATTAACTTAGTAATGTAATAGGTACTAACGAATTTCTGGCCTTCCTTTCATTCGGTTGTAAATATTGATGAGGTTGTGGAGGTACAAACGTGTCTGAGTACAGGGTCGATATGTAGTCTGATACATCGGTGCACTGCCACTCGTATTCTAAACGTTTTTTCAAACCCCACTCTGTCACATTACCCTAAAAAAGTACACAATATTAAAATATAAACTACCTATGAGTTAGAATAATATATGGATAAATTTTCTAGTTTAATTATTAATATGGCTAAGTACGTACAAAACACTTCAAAAGATCAGGTTGTGGATAGAATTGATGCTCCGCCTTTTTATAGTAACGCTGGATTGGGCCACACAGGGGCTTCGGCAGGTGGTTGTACACTAGATCGTTGGCAGTTGCGTAATTTGGACATTTGTCGTGGCTATCGTGTCTTATTATCGAAGCGACGTTACTCTGTAAAAAGGTGATAGTTAGATTGGAGCCTAGCGTAGCGTTTTGCATGTTGTACAAACAGCAGAACCACATGATGTGAAAAGTAGCACCTATTTGAACTGAGCTTTATTTCAAAGTAGAGACTGCAGTTTATTTTAGCTATGCGCAGTCCTTAACTGCCTTAATCATTAATGTAAGTACACACTTGTATTATTTGTTTCATCTGACCTGTGTGCTATTCAGTTTATTTTGTCTGAAGTCGGGCTGTCTTGATTCTGGTTTCAGTTTTTCATAATCATCCTCTTCTTTTGGGGGAAAGTAATAAGTACCGGTTTTTGGACATTCTATCCGGTCTTCTACCCAGTTTCCTATAAAAAATACATTTACTAAATCACATGGTACGCAAGGAACTGGTTATTTTTTGGTAAAATGTATTGACGTGACGCACTTACTGAATATAGGAGTGGTCTACAGGATAAAGCTTGAGGAAGGTACATAATTAAGTTTTCGATACCGTAACCCGATTTGTTGATTTTATTAACGCTTCTCTGTTAGGGTCTAGTAAGGGAAGGCAAGTAATATGTGGGTAGGTAAATAGGAGGATGCTGAAAAGCTGTTATGTTTGGTTTTTACCTGCAGAGGGAGTGGCTAGCGTGTCCCCAATTGCGTTAGCAAGTTTTGATTTCTTCTTTTTACTACACACTCCCCTTTGAGAGCATACGTGGGGCCTCGGCGAAAATTTAAAAATAATAACATTAAAAAATTCATTATGGGCCTAATTAAAGTAGACTTTTTTAGTGGGGGAAAATCATCCAATGACTTCTCCCGCCTTGGGTTAGGCGAGAGAAAGTGTCATGCTCTTACAGACTAAAAACCACCCCGTTCCTACTCCTGATTCGGGTTAACGGGTTGCCTGGGCTCCGGCTAAAAGAGCAGGCCTTCCGCGACCATTAAAGTAGACTTACAGTACAGTTACAGTATGTAGGAGTGCATTTCATGAATACCTACCTACCTACCTACTTATTTAAATACTCTAGTAACGTTACTAAATGTCCGGCTTACCTCCATTGGCAAACCTCTCTGATAAACCAACAAGGACGATAAAATAAAATAATGGAGATTATAGTTACTGATAGTTTTTGTGATACTAGCCTATAAGAACACCCGAGCTATACGAAGGGCGGTTTTGTATAAGTATTTTGGCGATCGCCTGGGCACGACTTGGCGACGGAGGCCTTGTAGACACCACGCCTGCAATTGCTTCCTGCATAATGCATTGGTAGCAGATAAAAATTTAACTCGATATATTATTTACATTTGAAAAATCCCACACTTAATAACTGTCATGTTTAATGACATTATTTAAAAACTTATTAGTTCTGAGTTTTGAAATAAAACAAGGTTTTACTTCACGCATATAAAATTGGTTCCTAATGGTATTTCAAGGAACTAGTCCTTGAAACTACTGAAGATGACCGACTTTAATTATTACCCACTTTATTATTATTATTAGTAGATTATTATTTTCAACAGCCTTGCTATTCAATACATACCCTTAATAATCTGAATCCCTGATTATGAATAATCCACAACATTTGTTCATACAAAAGTAGTCTCTAAACATTGGAAATAAGGTCTATAATGGGGTAAGTGGAGAGTGGCCACTTGGGGCAGATATTGTGGATAAAGAATATTTTACTAAATTCATATTTCCATACCCATACAAACAGAATGCAAGAAAAGAGCAAAATAATTAAGTCATAAACCTTTATTAGTTTTCAGTTACATAACAATAACACTTTCAAGCTTAACATATTTCACAGTATTTATTAACTACAGGTAAAACTATCAGCGGTAACAAACCACTCAAGAGTTTTATTTTCTGCTGCTCCATTCAAGTCTTTGTATTCAAACTCCAACTGCTTAAAGGTTCAGTGGGTTAATCTGTCTCCATGGGCAAATTGAGATTTGGTTTTGGCAGTGACTGTAGTAGTGCAGACAGTTGTCCTTCCAGAGGGCCTGCTTGCTGTACCAAGTTTTTGAGGTTTGTTTCTACTATGGAAATGTCCTGATTGATTGATTCCATGCTCTGTGAATATACCAAACTAGTTGATTAGGAAATTCAATTTCTTTAATTGTTCAAAATATATGTTTGATATTTTTGTATCATATCTGATGGTTTACACTTAGAAATAGGGATCAGTGAGTTGCGTTAGGGATCATCTCAGGGTTAGAGCTAGGTTTAATAAGTTACGAATTAGTCTGAAGATGATAGAGGTATCTTTTGATATAGAAGTCAAATAGAAGTAGTCTTACTTATGAAACAAATACCTATGTACAAAGGTCTTACCTGTATAATGGAAGTGTACAAGTACTTCACGTCTTTATCACTATAACGGATGAAACCACTAACGTTCGACTCTGAATCCGATGGAGCTATTGAAGCCATTATAATCGATATTATTTAATTATATAAAAATAGAAATTCAAACACCGTTGAAGTTGAACTTTAAATAAAAACAAACACTGGATTTTTCATTCAGAAAATTACAGTGTTTAACATGTCGATGTTGTGTTTCATACTCTCTTTCTCTTGTATTGTTGCTTTTGCATGAGACGGTAACGGTATCCTATGTTAAAAATCAGATTTCATTGAAGATCCATGTTTGGAACGAAACTTTTGATTCGTTTGACAGTCAAGTGCACGTTTAGCAATCATTATAAAAAGATGTTTCGGATCTCGACTCAACCGATCATGAACACGTAAATTATTTTACTAATACCTAAATATTTATAGAAAAGTGAGAATTTTGTTATAATATCGAAAGTGACTACCCGTTGAAATTAAATTTCATCGGATATTGGGCATTTAGTTTCCGAACTTGAAAACATGAATGTCAATGTCATCCGCTGCGGAAAGAATCGCCTGCATTGGAGAAAAGCCAATTTTTTCGAAAATCACTAATAAAAAAATACCGATTGTGAATTTTGTGTGAAAAACTCAAAATATTTTCCGGAAAAGTGTATGTAGTGGTGTTCTATCATTTTTCTTATTAAATAAATACTGTTGTTTGTGTGGCGTATATTGTTTTTATTGCATAGTTATTGATCAGATGCTGAAAGTAAAAAAAATAACTGTGCAGTAGAAACGTATGATAATACGATAATATATATTGAAATCCTGTTGAAAGTCGCTTTTCAAATGAAAAACATTCGATAAAAACATCTTAAAACCTGCATTATCATTATAAACTTTTGCTCTTATGTATCTTATTATAATTTCTTGATTCTTACCATTATGCTTTTCACATATCATTAAAATCACTGTCCTGGTCTGATTATAATTCACCAGTCAAATATAAACATTGACTTATGAAAAAATTTGGAATTCCTCGCTACATATTGGAAAATACTAGAAATATTACCTTACACCCAACGATGTTGTCCAAAATTATTGAGATGAAATTATGTACAAATATAATACACATAATATGTGGTTTGAAGTGAAGAAAAGTATACTTTCCAATATAGTCATTATTCTGTTGGAAATGAAATGAATATTGGTTGAAAAAATAAAGATGAAAGCTATTTAGAGATTAATGTGTGCACATTGAAGATAAGATTTTATCTTCTTTTCAAAGAAATTAATTTATGAAAATAATTTGTAAATAATAGAAGAAACATGATTGTGTTTACACCATATTTGACATGTTTGCAAGTTCTGTAAGACTCCTTCAAATATTTCTCTATATCTAATAGTTTATTTCATAATTCTGATCTGTATTATCGAGCATTAAACCTTGTAGAAGACCCCGTGCCATTTAATAATGTGTTTTGTCATCTATTATATTCATCTGCCATTAAATTCAAATCATTCTACAAATGGGGAAAGAACGAAATTATTTAAAATCACAACAATTTTCATTATAAAGCCTAAATTTTTACAAATTAAAATTGCTAGGCACAGTCCACAGAGGCACTATTTGTATGCCACAAATGTGCTACTGGCTTTAACCTAGCTCTAGCTTAGATAACTTCTGCCATTATTATTTAATATTTTGGCATTAATTTTATTAACTTGGTGTGTATACAGAAAAGATAAAAACATGAATAAAATAATAATAAATCTGGTGTAACCCAACAACTGGATATAATTAGAAAATCTGTGAGAGAATCCTTATGATACAGTATCAGTAATCATAACACTTGTAGTGATTTGCTGAGAGTTGAATAGGCCGCATTAGTTGGCAGTAGGTCGTCGGCGGCGGCGGCGCCGGTCGGGCTGGCGTCGCGACGTCGCCGGCTGCCCCCGCCCCGCACTCGTCTCGCTGCCCCCACCCTCCCACGTGTCAGTCTCAGTGTCCCTTCACACACAGCCTGTAACTACCCCTATTCTAACTCCTGCATCTTCGACTCGCGACTTTGTTTGGTTCCTTTCCTTATTTTCCGCTTTATCTAATTTTATGGACATAAGTTTCTATCACATATTCTCTAAATCGAATTTTTCCTTATTCTCTCATAACATAAAATTGCAGTCAATAAACAATAACAATGTGTAACTAAAGTGCGTGATCGAAGAGTCATGTCTGAGGAACATGACGTGGATTTTCCTATGAACGACGAAAAACACGATGAAGAAAGCAAAGAAAAAGTGGACGAAGATGAAGGAGCGGTGGTGGACAACGAATCGACGATCGAACATGCCGAAGACTGTCACATGACGGTAGATACCGACAAACCAAGTGCCAATACATCCAAAGAAGACAGTGCCATAGACGCCATAGATAAAGAGACTCTGAGTAGCGAAGTCGACGAGAAAAAGGACTTATACGGTGCCAATGAAAGAGCAACGCTCAGCTGGACTGCAGAAGGCAATGAGTTCAAGATAGCATGGAACCTGCCACCAGGAACTGCTACGAGCGACGACTACATTGCGTTATGTTGCACAGGTAAGAAGACGTTTGTTTATTTTAGAAGTAGTTTAAAATCTATGTAAGATTACGCTGACCCATCGTCCATCTAATCTAAATACAATCGAAGGATGGCTCACTATTATCGGCTTTTCAAATGATGTGGTGAGGATTAAATATTCAAATCGAATGACATTCAAAGTCAAAGTCAAAATCATTTATTTCAATTAGACCAGGAAGGCACATTTGAACGTCAAAACAAAATATTTAAATATTAAATAATAGGAAAAAATGTCAGTCTGTAGGTCAGTCCTCTAGTGAACCTATTTGCTCGTTCTAAAGTGTAGATTCCTATGGAGAAGAACGAGCAAGAAACTCCATAGGTTCCTCTTTTTTAATCATGTTCGCAATACACTTTTTGGTTACATCTTTCATTCGGCAAGCGATTCATAAAATAATAGAAGGTTGGCGTTTTTGACTGCTAACTGCATTTAATAGTATCTAAGTTACGTAATGGTTAGTATTGCCTCGCCTTACGGTTATGTCACGCAAACCAATTCTGTATTTTCTAGGGCACCGACTTCACAATTTTACAAAAAGTGGCGGTAAAATACAGTCTGCCGTTATATTGTTTGGTTGGCGCAGTTTTCCTGAAAATATGAAACCGTAATAACCAGAAAAGATAAAATTATTACCCAAATTTCTACTACAATAATACAATAAAGAAACGAATTTGGAATAAAAGCTGTCTTAAAACCCCCCGTTTGCAATAATCTCCAGGTTTCGCAGGTAGCGAGGAGATCGCAGCTAGGTCTGCTGGTCACCCCTCGCTGGCGGATCACAGTTTTAGTACACACTCGGGTCCAATTTATTCAATGAATCGTAAAAACTTAAAACATGCATGTTTACTTCATATGGATCCAATGGTTTCAATATTATTTCTTATTCAGTTCGATGAAATGACTCATCCCCATTTTTTCTTGTGTTTATGTTTATAATTCTCGCTAATTTGAAAGCGATACTTTTCGCTAATTGGTTGCGTAGGTTAGTAGGTATGATGTTTCAGTCATATGAAACTACTCCACTAATAAATTAGTTTTGTTACTTTGTTTATTTGTTTTCTTGGTTTTGAATATTGTATCTTGTATTTTATTTATTTAGCAATATTTGATATCTTGTAACTGTGTTTGTAAATATTTGTTTATTAGGTATCAAAAGGTACGAGTGGAAATTCTAGTTTCTTGAACATTACAAGTATTGTAAGCATCTTAACTTTTCCCTATCTTCCGTTTTTTCGAACTCTATCTACTTGTGTCTCTAATAAATACGACCAAATAATCAACCAAATAAAAAATCTCGTAAAATTGTAACATCCTTTTTTAAAAGATAATATTTGGATATCCAGTTCAAAAAGCCTCCCTTTTCGCATCCCAATAATTTGCACAGAGATTCCAGGAAATAAATCCTTGGCGTGAATTCGTACCTGTATGAGTCCAGCACCTTCTATGCACTTAACTGGTTGTCGTTA